AAATAAATCATCCAGGTGGGGCTGCACATTGGTGGTGGTGGAGGGGAGCCCTCATTATTAGCCTGTGATTAAGAACTGGGCTGATGGAGGAGTACTCCAGGATTAGGAGTAGGTACCGCTATGTTAGGCAGTAAAAAAGCATGTTGAATGGCACTCTTGGAGGATGGCACCTTGCATTCCTCGTCCAAGGAAAGTAGAAGAAATGTACGTGTCGAGACTGGCACGGTCAGATGATACTACTTTTAATTGTTCTAGGTACATGATGAAAGTTGGGTAACAGTTTAACCTGTTGTGTGCCTCAGAGTAGCCTCTTGTGATTGTTTAACTGGTGATTAAGAGCAGCATACATGCCTTAATTATGCTAGAAATCCCTGAACACAGTCAAGGCCAGAAGCCTCTTTCATAAAATATAATAGGGGAGCAATTTACTTTAATTATGCTATAAAGGATGGTTTACATTCTTCCTTTTGGCACGTGTTCTGTTTTTCCACCAGCAAACTATATTTCTAGCCAGGAAACAATATACTGTATACACAGTATATACACTGTATCAGCAAAACCTATTGAAGACAGTACTTAAAACATTTTAAATCCAGATGAAAATACTTCAGAGCTCCCTGTCCAGAAATCCCAAGTCTTGGCTCTAAAAGTGATATGTTTATTGAAAAGGAGAGCAAAAAAAAAACTTCAAACACACCCCACATTTGGCTGCACAGTGTTTGGTTTTGTTTCTGGAAGCTTGCCCATACCAGTGGGATAATGTAGCCTGTTTAACGGAGTTCCTCCAGCCTGTTTGCCAAGGAATCTGCTAGTAATCCAAACTATTGACCTAAAATCATACTCACTTTGACACTTTTCACAGTTTTTAGGCGTAGAAACGTAACACCGTGCTGCGTTCCTGTCTACCATGTAATAGTGTAGCTGATTTACTGTACTTTTGAAGCAGTAATTTTTAAGTCCAGCTTTTGCCAAAAATGTGCAATGATTGATGTTGTTCCTGATAGGGTCTGGGACTGTGAGTACTGTCACGAATGTTTTCAGCTGAGTGTGTAGACTGCTTTCTTAGTTTTGCATGGGTATTGTTTTGCTGTAAATGTCCGCTGTTTTTTTATTGTGAATCAAATATAAAAGAGTTGCTTTAGCAGTCCCGGCCTGAGAGTGTTTCACAGGTAGGAGTTTGGTTAGATAATACGATGATGTATCACAAACATCATGATTTTTGTTTTAATGTTATTTTTCTGGGGGCAAACATCAACTATTAAATGGTACAGAATGGGTATGTTTTAATTTTATATCAGCTGCCCATGTCCATAGGTCATAGGTCAGTTTTTGTAGATATTGCATGAAAATAGTGTAGTATCATTTATAAAGCACACTCTTTCTCAGGCCTGTGCTTAAATTATAATGTATGGAACTTTAATTATTTCCATCCTAAGAGGCGTACAGTATTGTATCCGGACATCAAAGAGATTTACATTTCCAGTGCATGACCGTGCCCATTTTTAACCTGTTGCCGACTGCTCAGGGGATGCCAGCAGGGCTGCACAACTGGATCGTGGATAGACTGGAGTAGGAGGGGAGAATATCAGATGCTGTTTACTTTTCACCTAACAGTACTTTTCTGAAATGGTGGTTTTCAACTTTACACAGCCAGATTTTAATTCAATAAATTGTCAGACTGATAAGTTATGAGGTGATCTAATCTGCCTCATTGTAATTTGATTTTGTAGCCTTTGCCAGCCTCTTAATTATTCACTGCAGAGAGCCAGTTGCTGTTCAAATGACAAATTGTTTTCACTCGGGGAAGAGAAACGCGCAGCAAATCGGCAGGCTGTGAACACAAAGAATGGTGATCAAAGCAATGGGACTTTGTAGGCGCTCATGTGCACTTCCGTTTGCCGACACCAGGAATTCTCCTTCTAATCAGAACAGAAGCATGTTGAACACATGTCTTCACCGGGAACAGGAAGGACAAAGCGTATCCTGACATATGAAATCGTTCATTTGTCCAGCCTCACAGAGATGTGCAAGTGCTTTGGTTTTAGCAGCACAGCAATGGCCTCCGTGTTCCAGCGTATTGGAAGCAAAGGCCTGTTAGCAACAAGGTGCAGCTCAGATGAGGCCGTGCCAGTCTGCCAGTTTCTGGTGAAGGGTTGAATGGGTTAACTTAGTGGGCTCTTTTTTCTCTGCCACTGTTCCACTACGTTTCTCACTGTTTTTTTAGTAACTTGTTTGTTTCACTCGAGTTGCACTGGGTTCTTATCTTTCGTTCCTTTTTTCCTGTAAGGACTCAGAGGAGGAAGATGGACTCTCTGAGGCGGCGATCGAAATAAACGGCCAGGTGGGGCCTGCCCTCGCCCCCTACCACGGCCCTTCCTTCCCACCCTCTGCTCCGGAGCCGCGGCCCACCATCGATGCCGTGGAAGTCCGAATCCAGCAGAGAGAGACCCTGGAGAACAGGCTGGTCGACTGGTGAGTCCTGCCTTCCCTGCCTCGCCCTGCTTGCTGCTCTCCTTCAGCCTTCGCCATTTCAGTCGGCTGAGTGACGGCGCGCCCGCCATCACCACGAGCCCGACACCAGCGTGGTGCGCTCGTGATCAGGGGCGTGTATTAATTACAACCAGGGGCAACGAGCGGGCAGTTTCTCTGCACACCCTTTCACGTTTATTGAATTGTTTGCTTGAGAAAGGCTCAGCTTTATCAGGGTCCTTTATCTCTTGCTGTTTGGTGGCCTCCAGTGCTGTTGATTTATTTTCTATATGACTGGCTTTTATTCAAGCCTGAGCGATAAGCTGCTCATAATCCACATCCATTAAGAAAAGCCGTTGCATGTCAGGGGTCTCTGTAGACGCTCAGGAAGGCCTGTCTTCCCCGTGCAGTGTCTGTGTGTGGGGGCGGCTCAGCTAACGAAGGGAGAGGGCCTGTGTGTTGCAGGGTGGAGCAGCAGCTGATGGCGCGCGTGATAGCCGAGCTGTACCCCCCTCGGGTCCAGGCTGCAGAGGACAGCGGCGCATCGGAGCTGGAGGACAGCGGAGCCTCCACCTCTGACATTGGTGAGGGCTGAGCGGACCCCGCTGGCTTGTCTGTGTCTCGTACAGCGCTTTCCACACCACCCAGTTTATATTTTGAAAAATGTTTCTGTGCCCTCTATCCCAGTTAAGTTTAACCGTTTGCCCTTTTTTTGTTTCTGCCTGCGTATCGTTTTTTTAATCTCCCCTCAACTCTTCAGTGTGATTCCAGAGGTTTCACACTTTCTTCTGCTCTGAGCGTATCCCTTCATTGCTCCTCTCTAGGATTCAGGAACACCATGAGCAGGGATTGTTATCATTTTCATGTATTTATGTAATACATACATGATGATGGCTATTTATATGAAGAACCTAAAGGAATATAAAATTAAAACAAATGTATACATTTCGATTATTAAGCTTTTAACATACTTGTCATCTTATGTTTATTTGTTGGGGGGCTGCATTTGATTGAGTTTAAGGGGAGTGAGTGGATTCAAAACATTGTGTACTGAAATACCAAAATGACATTGGGTAACTTTTTTCAAAAATATTGAGAAGATGACAGTAAATTTGAAAAGCTCATACAGTAATTTGCCCTTATGACTTGCATATGATGGAGGAATTAATTTTTTTAATATTGTTTTTCTCTCTTTAATCAGCTGTTTTATCTTTCCATTGAGTGTGTGAAAGAAAATCCTTGTTCAAACCTTAAATTGAACTGAGTTGCACATTATTTTCTAGTGAAAACAATTCATTTATGAACACTTAAAGATCAAATATTGTTCCCATGTGTATGAATACTACGAGAACAGTTAAATGAACAGTAACTATGCAGAAGCTAAACAATGTTTTCGAAATGAGCTAAGCAGAAGGGAGTGGCCTGAAACACATGTCACCACAGTTAGTTGTTAGTTGGCTTGGCATAGTGGAGTCTGTTAAAGGTCGGTTCTGGTGACCAGTTGTAAAAGAACAGAAATAGCCTTGGCATTGCTTACTTGGCATGTCATACATCGAGTGGCTTTAAAATGAAAGCTTTGGGTTTTGGTTTCCGTAAAATACAAGTATGAGCTTGTAAGACAAATGGTAACACCAGCACAAGAAAACATAGTTGCTAGTTATGCAAGATTCTTGTTTCATTGTTGATAAAGATGTGATCTTGATGATCTGTTGGAGCACATCCCTTTTCTAGAAGGAAATAATAGTCTGGAGTACCACGTCATTCACCTGAAAGCTTAAAGCACTTGGAGAACATGTGTGATAGAGACTGGGGTAAACTACAGCTATGATGGACTGTATTCCTTTTGAATTTCTGACAGAGTTTCCAATAAACAAAGCATTGTGTGTAAAGTCCGAATGCCTGTATTTGAGTGTGCATATTTGATTCTAGTCATCTGTTGGCTTGGTCATCTTAACAGCACTTATTCCTTTGCTGATGAGCACCAGATTTCTGCATGTAGCTTTAAAAAAACTGTTCAATAGGAAACAGGTCCATTCCTGTGACTTTCAGAGCTTCTTCTCAGTCAGATGAAAAGTGTGCCATAATATTTTAAACATTTAATTGCATTGGCAGGGCTTTGTTATCTAGGCACGCACAATTAGTTAGCTTTTACAAAAGAGCTTCCTCACGAGGTAGCCCTGCAAAGAGGTGAAAACCTTGGGCAGATGATTTCCAGTTTGTTTGGGGATTTTCTATTGTAGAGAAGACCTTGAAAACCCGATCCAAACAAGAATGAATAGCTTTTTTACAATAGTACATAGAAATGTAGTGATAAACAGTTTTAACAATAATGAATGAATCAGTGTAAAGGTATGCTCTCAAGGTGAATTAGCATGGTTAAGCTGGCCTCTGTGTGTGTGTGTGTGTGATAAAGGTGTGTGTGAGCCCTGTGACGGGCTGCTGTTCTGGTGGGTTAAGCTCTGGCTTACTGTGAACCATTGAGGATAAAGAGGCTGGAAATGGATGTATGGATGAGAAGTTAACTAGTAAACAGTTGCACACAGTGATTAATATATGTTTTCTGTTGTTTTTACACAGTCCACTCGCGTGTGTGTTGTTTTCTTTACAATCTCCAACCTTAAGCTGGAGAATTCCCCTAGTTCCACTCCTGAACCATGGGAACTTCACCCAGGGCTGTTGCCCACGAACCTTGTCTCTGCTCTGTGCAGTTGAGGCAGCGGGCGGCGGAGGTGTGCAGCTGTTCGTGGAGGCTGGGGTGCCCGTGGACTCGGAGCTGATTCGCCAGTACGTGAACGATGCGCTGGCAGAAACCATAGCCATCATGCTGGGCCAGAGAGAAGGGCAGAGGCCAGCCTCTCCCCCCGCGGCTCTGGAAGTGCCAGCTCCTCCAGTAAGATGCGTTTCAGCTTGCTCGCTCACCGTTCCTACAGTACTGTTAGCTTCGGGCCCCAGTCAGTCAGACGATTGACTGGAGGAACACCAGGGCAGAGACTGACTAGCCTGGTCTCACCGAGCAGCGCAGAATGCTTCCACTTATTTGTACCGATTCTTCTTTTAGAAAACAACTAACTTGTTATTTTGTCATTAAAGTATGAAAATGAGCCTCAAGTTCTCCAGTAAGGCAAGGCAAGTCCATGTGACGAGCCATGTGGTTCTTTAGACAGCGGGAACAGGAGTCCCTTATTGGACGGGATGCCAGTCCATCAGAGGGGTCCCGGCTCATAGAGCTGAGCAGACTGCAGCAGTCAGGGGCAGGGGCATTCACAGAAGGGTGCTTCCAAGACCACAGATCTGCCTGCCCAGTACCTAGTTAGAAATCTGACTCGCGCTCTGTATGTCACTGTTTTCCAGAAGGAGCCTGTCGTGCCAACACCAGTGCCCACACCTCAGCTCAGCCCCCACCCCAGCCCGCCCCCCTCGGGCCGAGCGCCGTCCCCCGTGCGCACCCCCGACGTGTCCGAGCGGGAGTCGGCAGCGGAGTTCTCAGAGGCCGAGCTCGAACCTTCAGCCCCAGTACACACCGGTACAACTCCAAATGGCACAGCTGCGCAGCTGAGCAAAAACTGGGATTTTCGCCGTCGGGGGTCTTTAACTTTTTACCCAAGAGTCCCTTCAGAATGACAAAAAGTGGATTGAAAAGCTCCTGTAGGTGTAAAAAAGTCAGCTGCCTTTGTAATTTGAAAAGACTGGACACCGACAATTTTAAAAGGGTCTTTCATGTATTGTAGGCTTAGCATAACTGCTAGAACACCCTTTCCAAATCACAGAAGGCCCCAGACTGAGCTTGTATCTTTTGGTTGTTTATCTGGCTTTCAAGAACCCGAGGAGGAGCACAAAAGCCCGGTGATAACACCAGCCGCCACGCCAATCCCCTCTCCCCACCCTGTGGCCACACCCTCTCCTCCGGAACCCGAGAGGAACCCCAGCCCAGAGCCAGCGAGGCCACTCCCCAGCTCCTGGGAAGACGCACAGCTCCCCCTAGAGGAGGAGGACCCCAGGCCTGACAGGGAGGAGCAGCAGTCCCAAAGAGCAGTGTGAGTCACAAAGTTCACTGGTCAAGACAATCCCTTACTAGGCCATTCACACTCCACACACGTCAGCATAAAACTGAACACAGGGTGAATAAAATGAAAACGTTAAATCATTGCTAAACATGGTCGAAGAATCATGTTTAGCAATGAAAGGCGGAGCGGTGGCTCTGTGGCTCAGAATCTGTGCCTGTGACTGGAAGGTTGCCGGTTCAAATCCTGCGGCCGGCAGAGGAATCCTACTCTGTTGGGCCCCTGAGCAAGGCCCTTAACCCCAGCTGCTCCAGGGGTGCTGTACAATGGCCGACCCTGCACTCTGACCCCAAGCTTCTCTCCCTGTCTGTGTGTCTGTGTCTCCATGGAGAAAAGCTGGGGTATGCGAAAAGATGAATTCCTAATGCAAGAAATTGTATAGGGCTAATAAAAAAGAAACATTATTATTATAGAAGCGATAAATGTTTGGAAAACCTTTCCAGCAGTATACTTCAGTGGTTTAAAAGATTCTAATACAACAGCTCCACCTGGTGTACTAATTGTGAATTTCAAAGAGCTTAACAAAGTTCACTCGAATGCATTAGTTGATCTCATGAAGAGTGATTAATTACCTCGGACAGCTGTTTTAAAAATGTAATTGCTTTTGTCACTACATTTACAAAGCCCTAGAGAAATGTTGCATAAATTAAGGCTACATTAAGCGTCTGGTGCGTAATGGCAATTAAAAATGTGCCTAAGAAATGATAAGTGCACACAGATTCAGACCTGAAAAACTGGATAAATGCCAACCCTAAAGAAATATAGGACCACAGAGTCAATAGAATGTGTTGTAGTTCCCCAGTTTTGCCATGTGGGTCTTCCTGCAGGGTGATGTCGGTGGCCCAGGAGGAGGAAACGGTGTCGCTGGTCACTCCTTCCCCACCTGTGGCTCCTCAAGCCCCGACCCCAACCCCGCCCCCTCCCTTGCAAGCCCCACCCACTGCTACTGAGACCCCACCTCCGCCCACCCCGTCCACCGAGGACAGCAGCTCTACCGCGTCAGTCACTGAGACGGACACGGCCGGCAGGAACATCTCCGAAGGGGAGCTGCTCTTCAGCTACGGGCAGTTGGCTGCAGCCAGAGGTGCGCCATTCAGCACAGTGCACCTGTAATAGAAGTGTCTGGGAGGGTTCTGCTCTGTACCTCATCCGAGTTACAGCTAAATGAGTAAAACGCAGCTGGATCATTTTCATGCAAACTACATGATTTTCACTTCATGAGAACAGTGGACATATACAGTCAATATTAAGACCAATAATCAAATAAATAATTGGAATATAATGTATTGGGGCAATTGTCTCTACTTTCCTTTCCTTGCTATTTAGCATTCTGATATAAATATCAGTCAGAACACCACAGATTTAATCCTTCAGTTTCTGAAAGCGCAGGAAGAATTTTATTTGATTTCTAGATATTTTTTGTTGCCCCTCTAGTATCTAGCTCATTTATGCTTTGCCTTTCCTTTGCAGCTCTGGCAGAAGGAGGTTTGACTCTCCCAAACCTCAGCGCCAGCTTGTCCAGTTCACTGCATGGATTTCAGGACATGGTGAGGCACTTTCACGGGCAGTCCCTCCTGAACGCTGGCTCCCGGTTGGCACCAGGATAAAATATTGAAAGGCTTGGTTGGTGCCCAGGCTATGATAAGGCCCAGAATATCAAACTGAGTGTCCCCGAATCCTGAGTGTTCGTCTGCTGATATTGTCTTTGCCTTCTTCATCTTTTATTTTATGAAAACCATACAATCCACAGGGACTGTTTAATTACACACGGGGAAATTAATACATTATATGGTGGGAGAATATGTAAGCTCAAACCTAAAAACCACTTACAGACAGTTTTCCACTTTGCTTTCTTGAGAGTAGCAGAAAAAAAGTAATTCGACTTTTATTTGCGGCCTTCTTTCTTGCTAAGTGTATATAAATATATAAATATTGAAATAAACAACCTTGAGTACTACCAGAACTACTTTATTTAGTCTCTTATGTAAAATGATTTGGAAATGTAATCTTTTGATTTTGAAATGTGCTCTTTTGTTTGACTTCCTTGGAATTCGTGCTTTGAAAGCTATTACGAAATGAAACCTAAATATTCCAGACACTCCGTGCCAATCTTGTCTTGTGATTCAGAGTACTGATTATAGCATTTGCTAGACTAAACAATGATGCCCTATCTGTTGAACTTTTAAGGAATACGAAATTCCAAAACACAAATCTCAGGCTTGACTTTCTCTCGGCCCATAATAGCGACCAATTTACTGACAGCTGACTTTGGTGGGACAGCGAACCTCTAACCTTTTAAACACAGGCTTGGCTGGGAACCTTCTGCATGGAATTGAGCTGGACATCACAGAGAGTGATGGCAGCATGCTTTTTACTTGCGTACGTCATACTCAATTTGTATAAGTCACATTGTTATTGACTTCAGGCTGTTAAATGCAGCATGATTCTTTTGCTGTCACAATATCCTTAAGAACGTGTTCTGCACTTCTGGCATATTAATTTGAGACTCAAGTGAGGAGCTCCAAGGGGACAGGTGAGGGTTGGTTCCTCGCTGACAAGTAGAGAGAAGAAGCACAGCGTTTGGGATGCGGAGCCTTCTGGAGGAGTGAGCCTGTTAATATTCTTCTTCTGTCAGGACTACGATCCCCCTAGCGAGGGGCAGGTCATAAGGAGGCCAGATATCCAGCATCACCGGGACCCAGTCCTGTCCTTGCTGGCGAGGATGAACCAGGGCCTCACCGCTCTGCAGGAAGGACATGTCCACCCACAGGTACATCACACCGCTGGCGCTTCAGAAACCGGCCTGCCGGCAGGGGATCTCCCTCTGGATTCGGGCTGGGCTGCCAGCTGACTACATCCCACACGTCTACGTCTGCCAGCACACAAACACACGGAGCTTCACTCCCTCAGTTCTACATGTGATGACAGATGTAAACTAGTGCAGGGCTCCAGTAGGTACAGTACCTCATGTTATTAAGCAGGGCAGCATCATTAAAAGGAATTGCCTGTAATGTGTCACCTCTGTGATGAGAATGAATTAATCTGTGAATGAAGAAATAAAGAAAAACGACCCATTTTTAACATTGGGTTATTAAAGGGGTTATCTTGAATGGCATTCTGGACCTTTTACTATAATGAGGAAACAAATGACTTTGAAGTATTTGAAGTATTTTTTATATTAATAGAACTAACATAGGAGCTCTGTGGTAAATACATTTGTGGAATTACAAAATAGAAACAGGAAAGATTTCAATGTAGTTACTGACACTGCTGTAGGTAGTGTTAAGGCAGTACCTCTTTCAAGCAGTAGGTGTCACCAAAGAACATGGAAAATCAGTTCTGACGTCCTTCCACAGTGATCCTGGCATCAAAAGCTGACGCCACTAATGGTTGAATAAAATGTTAATATTAATGTTAAATAGTACACTATACAAAATGCTGTAAAGATACACAATTAAATGTATAAATATTAAACATCTCTGTAATCCTGCAGATAATTTAGGCTTCCCAGGTCTCACATTGTAAATATTTAGCAAAAAATCTTGTATTTGGACTGAATGCATGGTACCCACGTTTGGTGTTTTATCACATTTACAATGAAGTATTTCGATATGATTTCCTAGCAAAGTCAATGCCAAAATAGAATGGTTACCTTTCTGAAATCTTGTAGCTAATTTACAGCATTTCTCGTCTAATCTCTCCTCATGGTAGTAGAGGTAATGAATGCTGTCTAACTCTGGTCCCTGTCCACAGGGCGTTGACAAAGAAACCCACCCAGCTTGGTATTTCTTGTGTTGTTAACGAAATTGAGCAGCAGCACTGAGCCCCTGAGTGTTTCCTCTGTGCAGATCCACTCTGATGACGACAGCAGCATGGGGGAGGTGAGTGAGGGCCAGAGGCCCAGGCTGCCAGCTGCCGGGGAGACTCTCCTGACTGGACACTCACTCCTGCTGGATCAGAGCAGCCTGAATGCTGAGACAGTGCCTGAGCAAGAGGACAGGTCCCTCTCACCTGGCCAGCAGAATCACGAGCCAGGTAACACCCTGATGTTGCACCAGGCTTTAAGTGTTAGTCATTTTGACTAACATCCCCAGTGACCAATTCTGTCTTCCATTATGCAAGTGTATTGTGGTAAATCTGACACAGATGGAGGAATGTGCTTTGTCACGGTTTTCCAGAGTTAGTAATATGTTCTGATTTGCCTGTCTAAGTGTTACTGTGCTCTTACAATGATTTCACTATGCTTTACTGCACTTTTGCCACTTGAGGAGAAGAGTTTTACTAAATGTAGTGATTTCCCTGTGAACGCTTGCTGTTTGCTCTGCGTCACAGATCTTATTTCCCCCTTTGTGGTGTTTTCTGAAGCCGGTTTCCTTCTTTCCCACTGCCCTGCTGCTGTGCACAGGGGGATAGACGTGTTTACTCTGCAGAGCCTGGTGACACTGTGAATGAACTCTGGAATCACTTGGGAATGTTTCCTGTTGGGTTTTCATCACGTAAGGCTGGAAACTGGAGCTCAGTGGAAAGTCTTCCCAACAGGGTTCCTTTATATATTTATATTGTTTTTTTACTTCCCCAGTGCAAGACTCAGTCTTGTGTTGATAGGGAGCTCGGCTTGACTGCTAAACAAAAAAAGATTGTTCGGTTCTGTTTGTGCATGATGGCTTAGCTAAGAGTACTGCTGGTAAATTGACGAGGTATTATACAGACCACCATATTACTCTGCTGCATAGATGAACACTGGGGAGACCTGAACCCCTCTGGTCGTCTGGCCTGCAAACAATGACCATTTAGAATATAAAAAGATAAGAAATCTTACAACCTAGGGGACACCATTTGACCCGTCTAGCCTGTCTGGAAGTTAGTAGCTAATTAATCCAGGCTTTTCTTCATGTTGGCTTCAACAACATGGCTCGGTAGCCCGTTCCATATACCCATAAGCCTTTGGGTAAAAAAGTGCCAAGTGTTTTTAGCTTTAAAAGCCCTTCCACATAGTTTCCTCTTGTGCCCTCTGGTTCCTGTACCACTGTTCAGTCTGAAGAAGTACGTTGGGTTGCTTGTGTCAATGCCCTTGAGAATTCTGAATTTGTGTATCAGGTCCACTCGTAGTGTTCATCTCTTCAAAGCTGAAAGGTTCCAGTTCCTTTCTCCTGTTGGTGTAAGACATGCCCGTACCCCTCTGCTCACAGATGAACTGCTGATACTGATTGCGTTTCGGGTGCTGTGGAACTGGCAGGACCAAGGCGGTCCCAGAGAGAGAGCCTGCAGTCGTATTGATCTTAGCAAGGTGTTGTGAGTGGTGGCCTGGCTGTCACTGCCAATCCTGTTGCTAGGATAGAACCTGGTGGCTGTGGCCTCTCCAGACAGCTGGCCATCGTGAGCTCGCATGATGCAGACCGATGGCATGATGGCATTGTTGTCTAGATAAGTCGGACATATTTCTCCCATTCTGTCATTCTGTATTTCTCCTTGATTTTCTTCAGGCTCAACATTCAACATGTTAAATTGCCTTGTCACCAGCGTCAATTAAAATTAAAAATGACACCAAAAGCATTTAAGCAGTATCCAAAATATGTACATGCATAAATAGAGTGATAATTTTCTTTCGATTATATAAAATCCCAGTATGTACAGTATAAAAATGCAGTATATTTTTGAGTGTATTTGGCATGTGTGAACATGGACAGTGAGAGTGAGCAGGCAGTGCTAGACGAGAACAGTAATCCTGAATGTGCCAGTTTTCGTAAGATGTATTGTACTTTGTATTGTATTGTTTTTCTTGAAACTCAAGGAAAAGGCTTGAGATATTCTTTTTGAGAATCCAGAAACTACCTGCAACGTATTAGTGCATAGTCAATTTTCCTGATTCACTCATTGACTCATGCTTAGATGTCTCCGTTTAATTTTAATTAAATGAAACTGGAGTGTGAAAGTGTCTGGTACATCCTTGGGTATTGGCCTTTTTTAGCAAGTGTAAGAAGACAGACTGCACATAAGACCCATAGAGTTGATTGAAAATACTTCTTGAGTATGTTTTCTGACTTTCTGACTGGATTGCAAAAATATCCTGCTGAATTGAAGCATGTTTAAAAGATATAGAAGAGCGTTCAGTCACAAACATAAGAAAACATTGCTAGAGCATTGCATGTTTTGGGAACGTGGATTGTGTTTGTCTCAAAGCTTGTTATGAACACTAGCAGAATTACATGGCTGTGGTTTTAATTCAATTTAAAAGTTGTTAGTTTACTTCTATTGTACCTCAGATCAATGTGTCCTGGGTTAGATATAATCTCACTCTCTAGGGACCATGTTAATTTCCTGAGGCTTTTTTTCCAGAATGCTAGACAGAATCAGTCTTCATTAATACTTAATGATAACCTGCAAACACACCAATTCATTAATCCACAGGTACTCAAGTTAAAGTAAAACCTCTTCCCAACTTGATTGATGTGTCTCTAAGATTAAGATCACTTGTTTCATGTGTGTTCCACTGCAGTAACACTGCTTGTAAGTCACTCAATTACCATTATTATTCATCTGCTCTGCCACTGGAATAAGGATTTGTAGAGAAATGATTTGTTTAAAATAGATTTTTTGTTTTCAAATTGTGTAATATTCATTCACTCCTTGGAATTTGCATACTGTAAATATTCTGTGAGATGTACCTCTTGCAGAACACAAGAGTGCTTCCTATCAGGAACGTGGGGATACAGTATAGCGCTGTGTTGTCTGCTCCCAGGTGTCGCTCTGAGAGATTCCCAGGACACTTATGGCCCCATGAGCCTCAGGGATCTGGATGAGCAGCCAGTGCCTCTTCCTCGTACGCGGCCAGTCGCCGTCAGACCATCACAGCCCGTGGACATCCGCGGTGCACCACAGGTGGGGTGCAGTCAGCTTTCACTCATTTTCTCCCAGTCTGCTAAGGTCTTTGGATCCTGCAAAGAATTGCTAATGCAATAGAAAGTGGAATAGATAAATGGAAATAAAAAATCCAACAAAGTATTGTGAATGGATTTGTATTGCTAATGGAAGATTATATAACTATTAACAAAAATATTTGTTTCCTAGATAAGGCAATGAAAAAAAGCCTATTTAACCCCAATGGTGCACAATACAATATCAGCAATGCAGATGGATAATCCTCTATTATCTACAATTATGTGCCTCTCTAAGTGTAAGAACTATTGTATTTCTACAACAGTGTGATTTCTCTTTATGTACACTACCTTACAAAAAGCAGTGGTAACCATGTGATTTTCCTGTATGTGCTTTAGGAGACTCAAAGCCAGACTCTAACTAACTAGTTCCAACTAGAATGTTGCATTTGAGTTCAATCAGAAAAGATGCAGATCAAGTAGAGACTGTGGCCTTCACTGTGATTGACCCTGTTCTTTACCATTCCATGTTACCATCCTCTAGAATCCCAGTCACTGGATTTAAGGAGGATGTAAATCCCAGGATTCCTGTGAGGAATCCCAGAATACTTGTATCCAATCTGTATGTGGTGACATTGAAAAATTAGAGCCATTCATCTCCTCTGTCTGTATGTGATAGCATCACACTGCTGGGTGCTCTCTCATTCATAACAATATACAGATTAGGCTTCTTCTAGCTTGACTGGTAGCCTGGTTCTGTGATTTACGGGTTGTTTAAACTAAGGGGCTCAGTGGTCCACCACCTTAATAATGTGTTGACAAGAGATCATTAGTTTGAATAGCCAGACTTGCATGTAAGACTCTATAATATACAGAGGATATGTTGTAGAAACACACAGAGACGAATACAAAAATTTTGACATTAACTCTGTAGTTTTTAATTTTATTTTCATTTTATTAAAAACAACTATGTGCATGCAATACTGATGTGCACCTCTACATTGTTTTTACTTCAGGCTACTGAAATACCAAGAGCTGAGCAAGGACCACCTCCAATTCTAGTGAGACAGTACAGTCACAGCACTGAGGACGAAGCAGAAAGAGGTATTTTTACATAAACTTGTGTGCGGTTCTTACACATTCAGTGCTCTGAAAAGAGTGGAGGATGTTGGGGGGGGGGTGTTTTTTCCCAAAGGTTTTAAAAAGTAGCGAGGGTGCCTCTGACTGGCTGTGGTCAGGAAACTTTCACAAACCCCTGAACACTAACGAGGAACTTATTAATCTGTATTAATACATTTCCTCCACCAGATGGCAGTCCTTCTGTGTGCAGGACAAGCCCACTCAACAGTAAATGGTTTACAACAAAGTCATATTGGTTTTCAGATGGTCAGTTCATGTGTTCAGCAGCTCTGCCTTATCTACCGGCAGTGAGCACACTCTCCACATTCTGAGGGCACCTTGGGTTGCATCACTCATCATGCTAGAAATGTTGGGCTCAGCTCTTTTCACTGCCAGGTGTCAATAAGTGATTAAGTGTGGTGTCAAGCACTTTTTCAGTGAGGTCAGTGAATACCTCAAAATAAGCAGAAGGAGGGAAAGCATGTGACTATAAATGTGCCCTTTTGATGTGTCTGCTGGTGGCCTAAGGGCTTGCATTGATGAACCAAAGCTGCAGTTGACAGATTAACCCAGACAAGGGAATGTGGGTGGGTATACAAAGAACACATACACTGTCTAACGTATAGCCAAGGGATAGCAAGCACAGGTGCTGGGAGTTTAAGCTCAGGGTGGGCAGAGGCTGACAGTAGCTGCAGTGCTAGCGAGCTTGTTTGTTGTTCCCTGTCCTTTCCCCATGAAATACACACAGCTTCCACAATGAAACCGAAACAAAGTGTCACTGAATGATCCAAGATTGCTTCTTGAATTGTCTTTGTAATGCACAACAGTGTGACAGGCTGCTCTCACAGTGATTCCAGAAGGCTAGAATACCATTCAGAATGATAATATGCAATGTTCAGCTCTTTTTCTGTGACTCACTTCTATCCACATATTTAGACAATTTCTCACTTGTACAGCATGCTCTTCTTTCGATAAAAAGTGTTTTAAGATCTCATTGGTATTCTTTAATATTAAAGTACTTACAATATGTAAGCAGCCCTGTACAGCAAACTACATTTTGATTTCTCAATTATTCAATCTGTCCAGCAAAACACATGCTTAACTAAACTTTCCAAGATGAAGATAAAAATACTGTTTGCTGTAAATCTTAAGACATCATAGGAAGCTAATGTTAGCTACATTTTATGTGCTACATCATCTCTTCTTTGCCTGAACCATTAAACTCCTCTGTTATCGATTAATAAACTATAAAGGTCGGTTTCTGTAGAACCTACAAACTTTACAAGTAATTCCATGTGAGCCTTTTCTGAACATGAGTAGAAGGATCAATGAAGGTATTCCAGGTATTCCATTGCCTTTTAACATAATAATGGAATTTGTCAGTGGCTTTTGCTTGACCGTTCCTGAGAGAATTGCACTTTGCCTATTTCTGTTTGTCAATTGGAAGGTATAAAATGTAGCAAAATACTTACAGTGCTGAGTAGATCATTTTTCAAAACATACTCTTGCAACAGACTATAGAACCCTGCTAGTCTGGATATTGTGTATGAAGGAGCCACACCCTAAATACAAGGAAAGGAGCCTTCCCTGTTTGCCTGCAGCAAAGTGGTCGCTCTGCTGGAGACAGGGAGCAAATTCTTCCACAGTACCGAGAGAATCCTCTCTCCAGAGGAGCTCAACACTGTGCCAGCCTGCACAACAGCTTTCCAGTCTTGTTCTTGCATTTCTTTTAAAGGTGCACTTTCCTATTTGTCACGGTGTCTAATTTCTATTTTCGACTTTGTTCTTTTTAAACGCCGTTGTACACACAGGGAGTTCCGCATATACACATGCCAATTATCCTTGTCTGCCGAAACGTATGGTTTACATTTCACAAGTCTACCAAACACAGTGTTTTAAAATCAGACTCGTTATGCCAACGTAAATACAAAGACTCTCTGACATACTAATTAGGTTCAGAGTGAGCATGCTAATCAAGAAAGTGTGCATGTAATTGCAGCCTTTGTGAATGCATTTGGGTGTGCACTTAATTGCAGCGTGCTTGTATGTTTAGAGAAAGGCTTGACAAATTAGGTGTTCTTCAGCAAGAGACAACCAATTTATATGAAAAGACAAGTTAAGGATACACAGCTGTTGTCCACCAGGCATGTGGGAATCAGAACAGTAGCTCCAGTGTTCAGCTATGGAACTGGTATTTTTTAAAGATGAACAACATAAAGAAAAATTGCCCGGGAACACCACCCCAGTAAGCAGCCCCCTTCAAGCTTAAACAAATACAGGACTTCACTGAGAGCACCACTGTTCTGCATGAAATGCAGTGCTTAATTTCCACTCCTGACAGCCCATGTTATAAGGAGAAAGGCAGCAGAGCACTCTGGCACACTTCCCATTAACTCACTGGCCCTTTTCCATAACATTTCAATTACCACTTACATGTACGCGCTGCAGTGAAAGATAAACTGTCCCAACACTGTCCACAGAACACACAGGGCTTTCTGTTAAAGGTGTCCTTTTATGCGTTGGCACCATACAGTACCTAGATGGGTATATTTAGCCACGGGGTCCCAGCCTTCTGCCTGTGAACAGGCACAGTCACAACTCAGAGGTGAGCTGTGACTCCAAACAGTGCAAGTGTTGCCTGCCATAGGGCAGAGTGGAGGAAACTAGGAAAGAATTCAAGGTGCTTATCTACAGGGTAATGCAGCTTTGTAGCTGCTCACTAGATACAGTACTCTTGTGACAACGCAAAGTGCTCCAGCACCAGGACACAGCTCTCTGTGGCGGCTCTCAATAATCACCTGTTCATGGAAGATAGCATTCGGCTTTGAACAGAACTTTGAGTTTTTTTTGTTTTTTGTTCTCGATGCATCAAATAAATTCTCAGCATTTGATCATCATTTCACGTTCAAATATCATTTCCTTTGGAACCACAGTAAGCCTAACATTCTGTGTGTTTTTAATATCATCCAGTGATGGAAAATGATACTCCATCACTGTGAGTGTAGTGGTATAAATGAGCTCCTGTCTGTAGTGTTGCTTTAGAAACTTCACATACACCCATTCAAACAGATCTACACGCACACGTTTATGCAGCACCACTGTTTTTACTGGGGCCTGCACAAGGCTTACAAGGTCAGATTCTGTTCCTTCCTGAAAAAACAAACAAACAGCACATAGGGTATGTAATGTAAGACAAATAAAAGCCTGAACTGAGGAGCTGTTAAACCATCAGCACAGATCGATTATTTGTTTAGCTGGACTGCAGTTATACCCTATTTTCAGTTAAGTGCATTCTTTTAAACAAATTTCTGCAGTTTGTTGGCTGATATCCCAAATTCAGTAACTTCCTACTGCATAAATAAATATACTTGACATTCCTGAGAATATTGTCTTTTACCATGTTCCCTAAAAATGGCACAAAAATGTGCATGCCAGAAATGTTTATATCTGCGGATTCAAAGTAGACCATAACCTTTTTTATCTGTATGTCATATCATACAAAACTGAGTGACAAGCTCATATACATGCTGATGTAAATTACCAAAAGACCCTCTTTTGACCATACTACCAATTAAGAAACACCACAGCTTTCCACACTCAGTATGGAAAATGTTTAACCCAGCACATTTTAGCAATGAAGACCTCAGCTGTGGTGCCGACTTAAAATTCAGATTACACAAACCTTTGACTACACTACACGTATATTAATTCAAAAGCCCTCCGAAAACAATCCCTAAAATATTTGCTATTTTTTATAGGTATAAAAGTTATTTATAAAATATGATTAGTTTATTAAGGTATTCATGTCTTAATAAAATATATTGAAGAGAGAAGAAGTTTACCAAAGAGATCAAACGCACTTATTGAAAGAAAATGGGTAGCCTGGTAACAGGTAACATTGATATCCAAAATAAATTCCTTGTTGTTTACCCCGGTGTATCTCTGCCACATCCAGCAGGAGGCGCTGTGTGGCCTCTGAGAAGTGAACAATAGCCTAGCAGGTGAATGGCTAAAAGTCACGTATGGATGGAACATCTGTGTATAATAGCAATTGAAGAAATATAAAAGCTAGTGTAGTCTACCAGATGATATTCAAATACTTTTCCAAATGTTATCAATAATTTGCCACTGTTTATTTAATCTAGGAGGTCATTATACGCCTGAGAGGAGTTCTGTTTCTTAGGCCCTTTTTCTCTGGTTTTGAAGCTCTCAGACTTGTTTTTTTCCGCTTTTTTAACTCCTGCTAATAATTATAGTGCATTTTCACTGCAGCAGACATTATGGAGACAGTGGTAGAACGTGTCTCGGGATTTTATGTGCCTTTGTTTAATCTGCCAAGCTATTACACAGCTGTTCGGTTGTGTTAAGGATGTCATTTGCAAAATATTCTTCTGTTTTTAAGGGTTAACCTGGGGCAGGAATAAATGTCCTCCAGCAGGATTGTTGTTTCCCTGGAAACAAGAAACACAAAATAAGGCTTTCCAAATTATTAATCACTCTGTGTCCTTGTAGTGTTTCAGACTATACGCTCACTGGGTGAAGGCTGATACCCAAAGAATTCTGCTTTTTGAAAATGAGGTCATTCGTAATCCTTGCAATTCATTGTATTTTAAAATGCGCCTTTTAGGAGTGAGAGCAGCCTCATGTGATTTTTGTACAAGCATGTGGGAGTCTTCCATGCATCTGTAAGAAGTGTACTTACCACAAAGCTACAGCTTCACCGTTAGGTAGTGATATGAAACAGGGTTCTGCAAGGCTTCCAAAAATGCTATCATAGTTTTTGGCATGTTTATGATAGCGTTATTTGCTTGGCAATATGTATTGGAATAGGTTTTCAATTTAATTTCTCAGCACATGTGATATTAAAGTCTTATTTATCACAACTGCGCATGACTAAATCTCTGTTTTCAGCAGTAAAAAAAAAAATCTTCTGCAGAATATTCATTATTTCCTTTGCAACCCTTGGCTATCTGTTCACACAATGA